GTGAATGAGAAAAATTCATCAAGAGAACGATATTCGCATGTAATAGCTATGAGAGTGAATACAACACGTCTGAAAAGAATGAGAATTCATCTAAATCAGTCTGAAGTGAGCATGACATAGACAACAGCTTTTCATGCAATCATAATCGACTGCAATAATGAGCAACACAACGATCTAGGATAGTGATATTAAGTTTCTGTATCAGAGGGGGATAACGCGGCCTGCCAGATCATCAAAAGGGGTAATAGAGCACCCGAACGTGAGAACCACTGCTTTATCAAAAACTTATAATTTGGAACATCAACGAATGCATATTTGAAGTTCATCGTATGTAAAAATTGATGACAAGTTTGAAATATGAAATGGAACAAACCAGCAACAACTTGCATGAGTCCAATAAGAAGTGCAGAGGTACGAGTAACGATATCTTTGACACAACACGATGCGAGTAATATAAATGTTAATAATAATGAGAGTGCACATCCCATCGATATGCAAATCGTTGAAATTTGCCAATATATCGATGGTATATCGCTGAATGTTGCATATCGACCGCATCTCTCCTCTAAACGAAACGAACTCAACTCCTGCAAGCGATTATTCACTTAACCCACTTTGCACTCGTTGATTGATGTGAGCTTACATGAATTGTGCGCAGTTGACCTTTGTCAAAGTAAGCAAATTACATATAATAATATCAATGTTTAATTGAAGGCATTTGCGGTTCATTATTTATTTTTTGGGTTTCTTATGTGTTGAGAAATTTTTTCGATACAACAAGATATGAGGTTATTGTTGTGAGGCAGTGATCAACTTCAATCTACGCTGTAATATCATCCATAAAATTGAAGTTATTGCTTTAGAATAATGAAACTGAATGTTTATTTTCGATGCTGGACATGTAGCAGTTTATGGCTATAGACGTATGATGGCTTCAGTAGATGAGAATGTGTGCGATATTATTAAACGTTGCAATAAAACGTGCTTCAATAAGTCCCAATTTCGTCGATCTCATTAATCCCAAATGACACTCAGCAATGCGTTTATCGCTTATTTCAGTCCCCATCTAGTCGATTCGATCTCGCTAATAAAGCTATTTGATTTGCCTCAAATTTGTTTGCGCAAGGCATGTGTTATTCATTCAGATCGACTGAAATTGTCGTCATGAAACTTCAGCACTGAAAAACGAACTGAACTCATTGCAATGAGGACCCAAGCAAATACTATTAGAAGCAATGGAAAAAAGCTATTTGGTTATGTTTATCCAACGATATTCATAACAGAAATGAAATTAGAGAAAATATTTCAGAAATTTGCTCGTAATACAGAAAAGAATAAGATATGACGGGAAAACATGCTGAACGTTTGTGAATTTTGATCACTGCAAACAGATTATGAATTACGGCAACTGAAAAGTCTGACACTGAAACGATACCTTATCATAAACAGGGTAATTACATCTTCTGAATGAACCGAAATACGTGTACACACGTCTACCATCAACGCTGATCGTACCGATCAACCAACTGGGATTATAGAATCCGAATATAGCACAAACGGTTGAAACTGTCGAGAGAAGAGTCCAAAAATAGCCGATTACTGTTAAACCTGTGTTCATCGTGCTCTGCACTCCTGCAAAAAACAATTCCGTTCTTGTTACCGAGACGAAACAAACAGTACTCATCAACGTGATGAATGAGCACTTTCGCAATACAACGAAAACACTTGAGGAGCGCATTAAATGGATTTGATTGAGATTGAACATTTTGGAAACTTATACGATAGGGTAGTGCAGAAGGCGCCATCCATCCATCAATCACCCCAACCACACCACCATTCATTCTCACACAACATATTTCACAATTAATTTCATTTTCATTTACTCATTGTTTTTTCTCTTCATAATCCGAACCAGAACCATTCTCGACCAATAGATCGCATTTTGTTGGAAGCGATAAGTCAGCATTCAAGACTATTAGTGCAATAACACCTATAAACATATATGATGACATTGCAACCGAATGGAAAGAACGCTTGCAGAGGAGGAAAGTAGAATGGAATAGCTGGAAGGCATGATGTGATTGGTATTATTAAACGTCTCGTTATAGGATCGAACAATCAAGGCAATCAAGGTAGTGTGCTTGCGAGAACAATGAAAGTTCAGGAAAAGAATCAAAATGAGTGATGAATAGAACGAATTTCGTGATTTGACTCAAACTCTTCGCATTTTGTCGATCGATGATTGGATTCGATCAATCTTCGCCAACGTTCATTACTCATCGGTTAAGCGGCCTATCATCAGTATTTGTTTCTGTTCAGCGAAAACCTTTCGTAAGACACTTCACTTCATCTCTTCGGTATTGATTCCAAAATTCGCCTAGCATTGTTGCATAAGAAAAGTTGATGAAGAACTAAACAAATTCCTGATGAAAAACAACCATATTACAACTGCCATCAAAACTGTCATCCACACTTACATCAGTAATCAATTCTACCGCATTATCCACTCACAACAAACTCCCACGCTGCGCTCATTTCTTTCGATGTGTTCGTTGATTCGCCTGCTTCTGTTATCCTATATGCGTCGAAGCTGTTGACTAGCTGATGTGAAATGTGATATATGCAGAACTCAACTCATCTCAATCAAACCGGATAAATGCTTTGCGCTAATGATTTTGATATATCACAGT